GAGAGCTCCAGGGACCCCCGGGAAACTACCCCTGGAGGGGGGCTGGCCCATCGGGATCCGGGACCCTTTACCCAGTTCCCCCAACCCGAGTAGAAGGCTCCCCTCCCCCACTGAGGGGGAGGGTCTCTGTTTTAAAAATAAACTCAACGCGACCCCCCCTCCCCAAGAAGGGCCACAGACAATAGGGAAGGGAAGGAGGAAGGAAGAGAGAAAGCTGCCTTCCCAAACAAAGCCAGAGAGACCGGGAGACCCAGAGCCAAGCAAAATAATCCTGCCCGGAGAGGCCCGGCAGAGGCGGGCGCACCTGCCCAACACAGACTGGCCAACCGCCCGGGCTTACCTGGGCATGTTTTATAGACCTGGCTCCTCTCCCCCCTCCCCTCTCCCCCTCACTATCTCTCCCCTCTCTCCTCCCCCCCTCTCATATCTCCCTCCCCCTCTCATCTATAATCTCTCCCCCTTCTTCCCTCTCTCTCATCTCCCTCCCTCTCTCTCTCCCTCCCTCTCTCTGCCCTCTCCTCACTCTTCCTCTCTGTGAGCAGTTCCTCTCCTACCAAGAAGCAGCCCCAGGACACAGTGGCCGCCGGTGGACAGCCCTCACAACCGAACACCCTCACAAGCGGCCCCTTCCCCTCTCGGGACCCTGCCTCCGAGTTCCTCTGAGCTCCCGGGGCCCAGAAGAATGGGCCAGGCTGGCAGAGAACAAAAGAAACCCGGGCCCAGCCCTTGCCCAGCCTGGCCGGCCTCCCTCCAGGCCCGCACAGGCTTCTTCCTCCAGTTCCCCCGAGGGGCTCGCGATAAGCGTGACGGGGAGCCACTAGAGATGCCAGGGACACCGGGGTCCTGCGCTGGGCCCTCTCCCATCCCTCTCCCACACCGCTCAGTGAGACTTTCTCCCCGTAGAAAGCTCCCTAGGAAAGTGGGAGGGGAGAAGCTCCGACCAAATCACACCCTCCGGCTCTGAGCCCGTAATTAAAGGTCTGGCTGCAGCCGCCCAGAGCCCAGCACAGGCCCAGCACATTTATCGGGACCTAAAATTTCAGCAGCAGGTAATTATGTCAATAGGCTCCGTGGGGAGAGCCAGTGGTCTAACCTGTTTCCTGGCCCTGGGGGAAGCCACCAGCCAGAACAAAGCCTGGCCAAGGCCCCCTGCCTAGCGCCAGGAGCCAGGGTGGGGGGAGGCTGGGGGCCACCACCCCTGCCAGGCCTGCCCAGCACAGCGGCTGATGGGGTGGGGTGGGGGGCAGTGACCGCGGGGATCAGGCTGGCTGTAGTCTCGCCCAGGAGGCTGAGGGTCCCAGGCTGAGGGTCTGGGCATGACCCCAGACATGCCAGTGGAGAGGTCGGAGAGGTCCAGTGACTGGGAAGGGCCACCTTCTAGAGAGGAACCCTCCCCCCAGGTCACGACCCCCGGGCCAACCCCAACCCCCGCCTCCCTTGGGCCTCAGAGGCCTCAGTTTCCTTGGCCAAGGCCAGGCGCACGTACTTGCCTCCTTGCCGCTGTCTCAGGCCCTGTTTTAGATCTGCAGTAATTAGATAATTAGAGAATACAAGACAGTCTATAATTAAGTGCTAAATTATACAGTAGCAAGTCGAACTGCCATTGGAGAGATCGCACTGATTTTTTTCCCCTCTTTTGAGTCAGCTACTTCCTGAGAGCCCATGAGGCTGGTGGGCGGGCCTGGGGGGGCTGGGGAGGGGGGCTGGAGGGGTGCAGAGGGAACCCGGATGGGCTGGCGATGTGTTCCCACTGCCTTGGGGGGTATCTGGGGGGCGGGGGGGGGGGGGGAATGATGGACTTTTCCTCCTACTTTCACGGGGTTTCCAGGGCTCTAGAGGGGAAACTGAGGCCGGGAGTTGGCCTCTGACTGAGCATGCTACCAGGGCCTGTCTGGGGGCTGCCACAGGCCAGCAAGGGGGCACAGAGCTCCGCGAGTGTGGCCGCGGAGGCAGGGGGCTCGCAGGGGGCTCACAGGTGCCTTCCTGCAGGCAGAGCTTATCGCCTCCGGCCCCCAAACCACCGAGTTCGCGGCTGATTTTTCCCTTTGGTCTCCGTTCACAGCGAGCGACAGGCCCGTGCCAGGGGGCTGTCACCAAGTCGGGAATCATTCAGAGTCTGCACTACACGGGACGTGCCAGGCCAGACCCTCTCTAAGACCAGCCCCTCAGGGGGGCCGGAGCAATAGCACAGCAGGGAGGGCACGTTTGCCTTGCACCCAGTAGATCCGGGTTCGATCCCCCGGCATCCCATAGAGTTCCCCAAGCACACTGCCAGGAGTGATCCCTGAGGCAGAGCCAGGAGGAACCCCTGAGCATCACTGAATGTAACCCTCCCCCACTCCCCCAAAAAAGACCAGCTTCTCACCTGCCCCAAGGCCCTAGTCTGCAGGAGAGGGGTGAGGAGAGACGAGAGACAGGGGTGGCACACTGAGTCTGATAAGGCCGGGAAATCGGGATACCTTAACTAGGCTCTTCCCACCCGCCCACCCCCACCCCCGAGATCTAACCATCAGCTTCTCCAGACCAGAGCTCAGAGCAGGAATCCGCCTCCCCGCTGCCGAGCTACGAAACTTCCTGCCTGGCCTGCAGGGCTGCAGGGACCGGGGTGGCAGCCGCCTGAGACCCGGCATTCCATTTTTCAAATAACTTGCCCGGAATGTGGCTGAGTATTGTCCTCGGTGTTCAAATACCTCCCGGGCCCGGCTGTAAAGGCCCCTCACTCCTGCCCGGCCGCCAGCACCAGCCCGTCCGGTCGGTCCACCTCCCTTGCCCCCCAGGGCCCGGCCGACATGTGGCGGGTCTTCAGAACGCCCGCCCGTCCGAGCAGAGGGAGCAGATGTGTGCCGTGTTTACGCTGAGCAAACCGCTGAGGCATAAACAGCCCACTCCAAACACCACTCACATTTTGCTGTGCTTTTCTTCATTTCCTGTGTATTGATGTTGGTGTTAAAATAATGTCAACGTTCCTCAGGCAGGAACAGCAGCAGATGTTAAAGCGCCACACACACACACACACACACACACACAGAGCAGCAGATGTTAAAGCCACACACGCCCTCTCACAAAAGAGCCTGACTTTCACACACATACACACACATATACACACACACACGCAGGAACACACACACACACACACACACACACACACACACACACACCTTTCACAAAAGAGTCTGATTTTCACAATCAGTTTCTCCCTTCCAGGTAACCAGGGAGGCTAGGTTCCTTACCTGCTGCCCCCAAAACAAAGCAATCTGGACTTCCCTACTGGGGACAGGTAAATTTAGCGTGCCACCCATTTCCCTGGCAAGCTTCCCGTGATGTATTCGATATGCCAAACACAGTAACGACAAAGTCTCCAATGGAGACGTTACTGGGCCCACTCCAGCAGCTCGATGAACAACGGGAGGGCCCATTTCCCAACAAGGCCAATATTCCCCTGGCTGCCGTAGGCTGGCCACGGTGTTTTTCCTCATTTTGCAAAATCGTATTACTCCATGACAACGACAATCCAGCAGCAACTGCCTAAAATTTTTCAAATGCCTTATTAAAGGGAAAAAAAAAGTTCTCAAAAATGACCTGCGAGACGCGAATTCCACAGGTAACCACTTGTTCTTTGGCCCACTCCTAAGCAATGTGCCTTCTAAACGACTCGGTTCAGAAGCAAGAGGATCCTGGAAACAGCAGATTCCAGGAAAGGAATTCACCAGAATTCTCCAAACTGAAACAAGCAGGAATGGCAAGAAAGCGCTTTCCACGGGAGGTCCCTACCCAGCGCGTTCGAGAAGGGGAAACAGACAAACAAGCCCATGAATGAAATATTTTCTTTCCCGGAAGGGGAAACGGGTCCGTTTTCCAGTGATCGGGCAACGTGAAGCGTCCCCGAAGGACCCAAGCTCGCCGCCTCCGGCCCCCAGCTTCCTGCCATGTTTTCTTTTTTTCCCAGAGAAACGTCCCTTCCCGTCGGGGAGGGAGCATGGAAACTGCTCCCGGGAACACCAAGGAGCTGGAGCTGGCGGCGATTCCAACAAAAACCACTTGCCGCGCAGACCCAGGCCATCCCCACTTCTCGAAATCGCACGTAGATAATGTTCCAGCCGCTGAAGGAACGGAGGGGCCTTTCCTCTCCGCTAAGCGGCTCCAAACACTCCCCGGAATCGCCTCCCGGTTTAGTGGGGGGGTGGGGGGGTCAAACAATAAGAACCGGATCGGTTGTTTTTTCTTTTCTTTTCTTTTCTTTTCTTTTTTAACGCTTTCTGGTTGGCGTGTTTCGCAACCACTCCCACGAGAGCCTTGAGTGTGCGGGGCATAGCGTTCAATGTCAGCCCTCTGCCCGCACGGCACAGGAAACGGGGCTCAGACAAAGGGCCGGTCTGTGCTGGGGTGACACGGTCCCCCAGACTGAACAGCAAAATTCTTCATTGTTTGGGACAATCGCTCACCCAAACAAAAGCTCACTGTAACTTTGTCCGTCCCCCCCCACACACCACACACCCCACACACACACACACACACACTCACACACACCCCGCCCGCCCCCCCTCCCCCCACCACACACAGAGGAGAACCCAAAGGGAGGCCAGAACACAAGACCAGCACTGTACACGGAGCATGCTGGACATCAGGGGGCCAGGCGGCGGGGGTGGGGAGGGAGGCCTCCCTGCCTTTCTTCCCCTGCGAACTTTCTGGAGCTGAAGTCTCAGAAGTTCCTCGCAAGAGCACACCCAAAGGACTTCCATTTTAAGGAGTTCACATTTCCATGAAGTCGGTGCCTTGTAAGCCCGAAGGAGGAGGGTAACGCTTCGTTTGGATTCTGCCCTCTCCCCTCCCCGAAAGCTAAGATCCAAACAGCACCCGCTTTGTGCTCCAAGCAGTACACGACCACCGCTTGCCTCTCAAAGACGCCCCCCACAAACCGCCCAAAGCCCTCCCCGCAGACGGGGAACAGACCCAGCAGGCGGCCGGCACCCCGAGGAAGTGATCCCTAGCAGGAGAGGTACCTTCGTAGCACAGAATGCCGATATTGTTGTTCATCTTGTCCAGGTACTGGTAGTTCAACAGGTCCATCTTCATAAATAGCATTTATTGGGCTCACGGACAGAACCAGCTCTTGGCGCTCGCCCGGAAAGTGTTCGTTTCAAAAGGAACAATTATTGCTGAGTGGCTCCTGGCTCTTGGTCTAAAGCTTCACAAAGGCCCAGCCTCCGACGGTCAAAACAAAGTGTGTGAAAGTGAAAGAGGGGAGAGAAGGGGAAGGGAAGGGAAAAAAAATCACGAAAGAAAACACACACACACACACAGAGACACACACACGCGCACACACACGCACACACACACACACACACACACACAAAAACCTTCCCGTGGAGGCGGCTTTAGGTACTGTATCCTCGGTGGACCATGGGACCACTCGGCTCAGAAGTCTTGACAAGGCTTTCTTCGAAATGCAAACGGAGTGGAAAGGAAAACCCCAAGCACATTTCCGAGGACAAAGCCCGCTGGCCAGCTCCGGCCGCTCACGGCGCTGACATGCTGGCTATGCCCGGTATGACTCGTATGTAAACGCGGGCGGGAGGGACACGGAGCATGCTCAGTGCAGCCCGGCGCTGCAAATGTCAGGGATATTTTCTGCACCAGATCAGGCTCCCAGCGTCTGAGGCTGGAGGGGGGGGTGGGGGGAGAGGGAGAGGAGGGGGAGGGAGAGGGGGGCAGAGAGAGGAGGTGGAGATCCGGCAGGCAGCGGCGGGGCAGGGCTTGACAGGAAGCGGCCCCGAAGGAACGGGCCAGGGCTGGAGGAGGGAAGAGAAAACCCAGGAAGTTTCTGCTCCAGGGGCTGGGAACAAGCCGGGCGGCCATGGTGGTGGCGGGAGGCAGCCCCCCACGCACCCCAGGGCCCGCTTCCCGCCTGCCCTCACCCTCAAAGGCCCCTTTATTCTGCAGCTGGGACTGGGCTTGGGGTGGGAGTGACAGGCCACCGGCTCCCCGCCCGCTCCCAGCGACGCCCACGGGCAGGACCAGCCTGCCTGGGCGCCGGCAGAGGGAAACTGAGGCTGGGGGGAACCGAATGGCTGGCCTGTGCCCCACCCCCAGCCCCCACGCTGGTGGACCTGAAATCCCGTAAGCGACTGTCAGAGGATGGGATGTGTGATTAAACGCTTCGCCCCAGATATTATGACTCTTAAAAAAGCCAAACACAGGCCGGAACGAGAGTCCAGTGGGTGGCGCTGGCTGCAAGGCGAATGGGTTCGATTCCCCGGCACCCCATAGGGTCCCCCAAAGATGTAGCTCCCTTTGGGAATCCCGCTTTGCATCCTGGACGAGGAGGGTTCAAGCAGAGAAACCTGAGGGTGCCCCAAATTCCGGGGGGGAAGGAGTGGGGTCCCCCCTGCCCACCATGCCTTGTATGCCGGCCTCTGGAGAGCTGGGCACATTCAGGGTCACAGGGTCACAGGTCACATCCAAACTCAGGGATGAGGTGAGGCTCCACGCGCCTTTCTTTTTCACAAAGTCCCAAGTCAATCTGATCACACACAGCCTGGGCTCATCTGCAAAGGAGCGAAAAGGCCTGCCTGGGACCAGCGCTTCGCACGCTCCTCTGCTCTGAGTGTGTGTTGGGTGCGGGGCAGGGCCCTGGGCTTCCTGCTGAGAGGGATGGTGCCCAGGTCAGCCCGGAGGAGGGCCAGCCCTGGCCATGGGATGACCGCTCCCGCCCCACGTGTACTGGCTTTCACTGTAAGCAACTTAACCACCATCAGACAGGTGTGAGCCAACGGCCAGCGAGTTCAATGGGCAGAGCGCAGGCAGGCTGTGCATGCAAGAGCCCTGGGGTCAATTCCCCCAGCACCTATGGGCCTCCAAAGCACGGGGCAAGGAAGTCCCCCAGCAACTGAGCCTGGAGCAGCCCTGAGCATGTCCGTTGGGCCAGGAACGTGCTTCGCCTCTTTGAGGGCCCTATGAAGACGGGAGGAATATGTTCCAAGCGTCTGATTGGGAAGGAGGTAAATATTTTCTCCCCCTGAAACATTTCCTAGCAAAGTCCCAGAGGAGGAGACCTCTTGACTGTTTGACGGAACACACAAGTTGCACGGCCTTGGACCCCGGCGCCCAGCAGAGGCCACGAGGTACAGGAACTCACAGCGACTGGGATGGAGGCAGAATCCCACCGATATGGGACGGAACATTTCAAAAACAGAGAGATAACATGGTGCCAGGACGCCACCCAGACCTCCTCCACCCAAGGCAGGCTCTCCGCCCCTCTCGGGCCCACAGGGAATACAGAAATTTTAATGAGCAAAGTACAAGGGGGGGGGGGGAGGCCCAAAGAAAAACCAACTATAAAATTAAGTGATTTTGCATCTGTCAAGTTAACAAAGACAAAAGGCCTTTCCGATCTTATTTAAGGCTGGGACACAGGGCCTGGGGGGAGGAGGCGTGGAACTTCCTCCTGACGAGACCCCCTCTCAGAAGCAGTGGCGCTCAGAGCCCGTTTCCTGCGTCAGCTTCTAGAACAGTCTGCAGGCAGCAAGCTTTGGGCAGTTACAAGAAGACACTTATTGTGCATCTATTTATAAAAGTCCTTTTCGTTTCAAAAGTCCAAGTCCTCTGAAAACCCCGAAGTCCAAAAACAAGAGAATACATGAAAATTGGCATGTCAGAGACCGAAGCAGTAGCACAGTGGGTAGGGAATTTGCCTTACACACGGCTGACCCGGGTTTGATCCCTGGCATCCCATAGGGTCCTCCGAGCACTGCCAGGAGTAATTCCTGAGCATTTCTGGGCGTAGCTCAAAAACTAAAAAAGAGTGCGGTCTGGGGTCAATTCCTAACACTGTAAAAAAATTAATAACAAATAAATTGATTACTGAAGATTTGGGGAAGGGAGGGAGGGAAAGATGGGAAGAACTCAAAGGAAAAAGTATCTCTGTGCAGTTTTCTGTAATGCCGGGGAACTGAGACCCACGTGAAGTGACTTGCTGACAGACACACGGGTGCACATTCATGTGGAGAAAAGAGGTGTTACTATAAGACTGAACGGGGTTGAGGCCAGCGGGCAGCAGGGAGGGCGCTGGCCTTACACATGCCTGACCCAGATCCCCAGAATCCCACAGGGTTGCCTGAGCACCACCAGGAGTGAGCCCTGAGCAGAGAGACAGGAGTGATTGAGCTCTGAGCACAGAGCCAGGAGTCAGCCCTGAGCACAGAGTCAGGAGTCAGCCCTGAGCACTGCTAGGTCTGGCCCCCAACCAAACCAAACAAGACTGCAAAAAGCAACAGAACAACAGCTCTCCCAGCGAGTGGGCTCCTCTCAGTCATTCTGGCCGACCTACAACCCCTGTGGAATCAGTGCAGGGGAGGGGGTGTTAGGGGTTTGGGCTACGCCCTGTGCTGCTCGGGGGACCATAGGTGGGACTGTGGATCAAACCGGGATGGGTCGAGCGCAGGGCAAGTGCCCTAGGTGGGTGCACTATCTCTCTAGACTGCCTTTCTTTTTTTGGGGGGGGGGGCTTCTGAGTTCAGGCCTGGCAGTGCTCAGGGGTTACTCCTGGCTCTGCACTCAGGAATAACTCCTGGCGGTGCTCGGGGGACCCTATCGGATGCTGGGGATTGAACCCAGGTCGGCCGTGTGCAAGGCAAACGCCCTCCCCACTGTCCTACTGCTCCGGCCGCCCTCCGCCGGCTCTTGAAGGGTGTTTAGAATGCCAAGTCCTGGGGACCAAGATAGAGAATGGAGTGGAGAAGGGCTTTCCGGCACACAGCCACTGGTGGGCACTCTGTTTTGACCCCCAGCCTGCGTCTGTTCTTCTGAGGACCACCAAAGGGCAGTCCTAAACCCAGGGGGGAGGGACAGACCCCCCAGGCCCCTCTCCATGTGGCTCCCAGTCACTCCCACCCCACCTCCCCCCAAAATAGGTTGCTTAGTTCTGGACTTCTTTAAAGACTGGACTAAAAATTCTACTTTCTCCAAAAACCCCAATAGCGAAAAATAATCTCTTAAGTCCACGGTATTTTAGATTTATGTGGCTTTTAATTCCAATCTAAGGAAGAGTTGGGTCCAGAGTACAGCAGGTCAGGCATTTGCCTTGCACGTGGCTGACCCGGGTTTGATCCCCAGCATCCCATAGGGTCCCCTGAGCACCACCAGGAGTGATTCCTGAGTGCAGAGTCAGGAGTAATTCCTGAGCATCGCTGGGTGTGATCAAAAAGAAAAAAAAAAAAAGGCAAAGTCTTTGTCATCTACTGGATTACATTACTTTGTACATGGCAGAATTTTACCAATGCAGCCACTGGATCAAGAAGGAAACCACGGAGAGAACAGGAAGGGCTGGCGCACCGGTTTTGTGTGCGTGAGGCCTAGGTTCAACCCCCAGCACCACGTGACCCCCCAAGTGATGCCCAGAGTGACCCCAGAGTACTGAGCTGGGAGTAGACTGACCCAAACTTGCATTATCTACTTCACTCCGATGTTCTGGCACTTTCAAGAATTCCTAACGGTAAACTAGGTGTGGAAAGAATTCGATGCCGCTGACGCTCCTCGAGTGGACGGGTCCAGGCCGAGAGCTTGGAGGCCTTCTCAGAAGGGGCGGGCACGGCAGCCGCAGACACTGCCCACACCAGCCCGGCCACTACTGGCCCTCGTCTGTCTGCCCAGCCCCAGACCGTCCGGTCCCACAACTGCTGGGCTGCGTGGGCGTGACACCTCCAAGTTCTACAGTCCTAGGAGCCCCGTCGGTCCCCGCAACCCTGTGGGAAGCCTCAGAGAAGCCCCCGAGCGCAGGGAGCCTCGACCCCAGCCCAGGGACCCTCGGATGGGGTTTCAGTGATGTCAGTGAGATGCAGGTTGAGTGCACGCAGGGATCAGGGTCCGAGAACGCTATTTGTCCCTGCCGTAACCAGCAACAGGAAGCAAGTTCGTGCCCGCGAGGGGCAGGCTGGGGTGGTGGGTGGGAAGCTGGGGACATGGGCGGAGGGAAGGTCACACTGGTGGCGGGACTGGGGGTGGGACACTGAATGCCTGAAACAACTGTATTGTGAACGACCTGGTGTATCACGGGGTTGTCACTAAAATTTTAAGAGAGATGATAAAAGACCAAAAATAATTCCTAAATGTCTCAAACCCGTGCTTATTTTTCTACTTGGAGTTGTTCACATTGAAATGACCCCCCCCCCCGCCCCGGTCCCCCAAATTGCAACGCGGGGGGGAGGGGGGGCCAGGGGGGGGAGAGTCCAAAGTATTTTGCTACATTTTCACAAAAGGAAACACTGTTAAGCTCTAGTTTTCAATCATTACTGCTCATAAAATGGCACCCTATCATAATATTTA